ACACGTTCTTCTCAAACGCACTCAGATCATTCCCTGTACACGTTCTTCTCAAACGCACTCAGATCATTCCCTGTACACGTTCTTCTCAAACGCACTCAGATCATTTCCTGTACACGTTCTTCTCAAGCACACTCCGAACATTTCCTGTACACGTTCTTCTGAAGCATACTCAGAACATTTACTCAGATAAACCGTGTTCTGGACCAGAAAACACATACACATCTGTATCAGTTTAAGAAGTTTCAAGGAATACAGTCTGTTCTCTGACCACAAATAAATCATGTTAGAAATCAAAAGCAGAAAGACATCTGAAATTATTTCAAATATCTGAAAACTAAGCAACACAATTCTAAATAACATAAAACAAAGAATAAGTCAAAAGTTAAATTAGAAATTTTCAACTGATGAAAATAAAAACAATATATCAAAATTTATGGAATGCCACTTAAGAAGTACTGACAGAAAATTTGTAGCACTTTATAAACACCCATACCAGAAAATAAGAAGAGTCTTAAATCAATGATTAGCACCTTGAGAAATTAGAACACAAAAGAAAATTAAGCCCAAAGTAAGTAGAAAAAAGGAAATAAGAGAAATACAGAAAACTATATATATATATATAAATTAACAAAACCAAAATTCAGTTCTGTGGAAAGACTAATAATATTATCAAACACATAGCAGGAAGAGAGAAAGTCACAAATTACCAAAATCACGAATGGGAGAAGGGACATTATTCATAAATTAAAATGATAATAAAGGAATATTATTGTACTGTGTTAAATAAAATTCCAAAAAATTGTGTGTATCTGGAACCTGTGAGTATGACATTCTTTGTAAATAGGATCTTTGCAGATGTAATCAAGTTAATACGAGGTTATACTGGAATGGAATGAATCCTAAATCCAATGACTGGTGTCCTTATAAGACAGGAAACTTTGGACACAGAGAGACACACAGGGAAAATGCCACATGAAGATGAAAGCAGAGACTAAAGTACCTAGGAGCCACAGAAGGCTAAGGATTTCCATAAACCACCAGAAACCAGGAGAAAGGTGTGGAACAAGTTCTGCTCAGAGCCTCTGGAAGGAACAAACCCTGCCCATACCTTCATTTTGGACTTCTAACCTCCACAAACATGAGATTTCTGTTGTTTTAAGCCACTCAGTTTATGGTAATTTGCTACAGAAACCCTAGGAAAGTGGTATAATTATAAACAAATTTATGACAATACATTTGAAAATTTAAATGAGCTGGACAAATTTATTGAAAGTAACAAAAACTACCAAAACTCACACAAAAAGAAATAACCTATCTATCTCTGTATCTATTAAGAAAACAGAATTATAGTAAAATGTTTTCCACAGAGAAAACTCCAGGCCCAGAAAAATTAACTAATTCTACCAAACATTTAAGGAAGAAATAAGACAAGTTCTACTAAAAAGTTATTCCAGAAAACAAAAGAGGAAGGAATACTTCTTAACTGATTGTGTAAAGCCATTATTACCTGATTCCAAAGTCAGGAAAAGGCATTACAAAAAAAAAAAATAAAACTATAGATCAACATCCCTTGTGAACACAGATATAAAAATTCTTAACAAAATTTTAGTAAATCAAATCCAACAATGTATAAAAAGATCAGTACATCATGGCCAAATTTATCTGAGGAATGCAAGATTCATTTAGCATTCCCAGATCAACCAATGTAATCTCCATATTAACAAACTAAAACAGAAGAACTATATTTTCATCTCAATCGATAGAGAAAAAATGTTTGAGACAATCCAGCACCCATTCTTCACAAAGGCACTTAGCAAAGTATAAAAAGAAGGGAGCTTCTTCAACCTGATAAAGGATGTCAAAAAAAAAAAAAAAAACCCTACAGAAACATCATACTTAATAGTGACAGACTGAAGATATTCCCCTAAGACCAGGAGCGAGATGTCTGCTCACCACTTCTATTCTATTCAACACTGCACTGAAAGATCTCATCAGTACAATACAATAAGGCAAAAAAAAAAAAAAGAAAGAAAGAAAAGAAAAGCATTCAGGTTGGAAAGGAAGAATTAAAATTCTCTATTCACAGATGCCATGATCATCTATGTAGAAAATTCAGTGGAGATTCTTAAAATGCCTCAAACTGATAGGTGAGGGTAGCAAACTTGCAGGTTACAGAGTCCTATTAAAAAAAAAAAAACATTGTATTTCTGTATGCTAGCAATAAAAATCATACATTAAAATTCTTTAAATACCGTGAAAGTAGCATCACAAAATACGAAATTATGTGATAAACCTGATGAAAGATTTGGAAACTACAAAACACTGTTGAGAGAAATAAAAGGAGACATAATCATGTTCTTGGGTGGGAAGACTCAATAGTATTAGGATGTCAGTTCTCCCCAAATTCATCTACAGTTTCAACATAATCCCACTCAAGCAGATTTTTTTGTACATAATAACAAAATGATTATAAAATTCATATGTAAATGCAAAAGACTTAGAATATCTACAACAACTTTGAAAAAAAAAAGGACAAAGAGAACGAACACTCCTGATTTTAAGACTGGCTACAAAGCTCCAGTAATTATATGACAGAGTGGCACTGTCATAAAGACAGTCAAATAAATCAAGGGAACAGAAGGGAGGTGGAGCCCCTCTACAGTAACCTTGCACAGCCCCTCCAAAAGGCTGCAGGCCAGCCCTGAAGCCCTACCTGAGCTCACCTGGGAATGGGCACCTGTGAGCTCTGCCTGCTCCAGGCAGCCTCCACACAGGTGCAGCTCAGACACCTCTGTACCCTCCTCCTGGATGGGCCTCTTCCACCCAGATCATCCCCAGTGGCCAGGGACACCAATCAAACTGCCTCCTTTCCTTATTTTGTCACCTACCCAAGGTCCTGTAGACTTGACTTTCAGTGTCATTGGCCAGCAGTTTGTCCTAAAGTCCTCTGTATTCAGAGGCCAAGAGACTAGCCTGACCCCGGTAAGGCTCCAGGGAGCTGGCCTGGCCTGGCCTGCCAGTCAGTGTTCCTGTGACAGGCACAAGGTGAGCACCCAGCCCATTCCCGCAGAACCCACCTGCTGTAGCGACACACAGGAAGAGGCAGCGAGGGACTGATTGAAAGCCCTGTCCACAGCTCTGTGGCTAGAGGCAGGTCACTGGCCTCACAGAGCCTATGGTGGGAGGGACACAAATGGGTCGACAGGTGCCCACATGGTTGCCAGGAACATTTCAGAGTGCAGGTGTGTGGTGCCCAGGCAGCCAAAAGGCCTCACCTGGCCAAGGTGGACCACAAGGCAGCCCAGAGGAGGTGCCTTCAAAACAAGTCCTGGAGGACAAGCAGGAGTCAGCTCTAACTCTATTTAAGTCCTCTGTGCAGAGTGTTGCTCTCTGGGGTCAATTACAAGGATGAGGATGAAGCAGAGGGGATGGGAGTGTGTGGTGGAGCCAGGTAGTCTGGTTCCAAAGTAAACAGCGTTCCCACCCCAATGCCAGGGAGATGTGGCTGTAAAAGTGGAGACCTGCCCAAAGAAAGCAGCACAGTGGCCTGCAATACTGTGCAGAGACCACTGTCATATACCCACGTCTGCTTGCTGCCCCAGCCTGGCTGCCATGCCCCACTACAGAACTATGCCTTGAACAGTTGGAATTAGCACCAAGGCTTGCATTAGGGCTTGTGTTAGGGGTGTGTGGTCTAAGGCAGTGCTCCCCTGGTCCTGTCAGGCCAGCTGGGCTTGTGGCTGGCCTGGTAAGCCTTTGGAAGTCCTCAGCCCCTCAACTGCTTGCTTGGACTTTGGGGACACCTAGCCATGTAAAGAGAGGGCTCTGCAGTAAGCCAGCCCTTTAGACTCTGGGTGCAACAGGCTCCCTGGGCAAGATGAGACCATTCCTGTGGTGGAAAGGAAAGGGTCCTGCTGTGATATGTGCCTGTCCTCACTGTCTCAATGGCTCAGACACAAAACCAGATATAACAGAGCTTCTGGCCAAGCAGTAGCAATGAGGGAATGATTAAAAAACAAACGCAGACACCTCAGCTAGGTGCAGTGGTTCACGCCTATAATCCCAGCACTTTGGGAGGCCAAGGTGGGTATATCACCTGAGGTCAGGAGTTCAAGACCAGCCTGGCCAACATGGCAAAACCCTGTCTCTACCAAAAGTACAAAAATCAGCCAAGTGTGGTGGCGGGCACCTGTAATCCCTGCTGAGGCAGCAGAATCGCTTGAACTCAGGAGGCGGAGGTTGCAATGAGCTGAGATCGTGCCACTGTACTCCAGCCTGGGTGACAGAGTGAGATCCTGTCTCAACAACAACAACAAAAAAGCAGGTGCCTTTGCCCAGGCCATGTGGTCTACCTTACTTTATTCACAGCATGTTCCCTGGGCATGGGTGTGAGGATGGGCTGTCTCCAATGGCGTTATTCGGCAGGCACTCTGAAGTGCTTCCCCAAACCCTGTTGTCTATTTTCCTGGACTTGAGTAATGGTGCTATTAGTGGCTTTATTTGATCTTCATTAAATTTGGGAATTGTTCTCACCAACTCAGTCAGAGATAAAATATTGTTTTCCATATTTCCAAAGTTTCTTACAATAATGGTCCAGGGCTGGAGTCTGGAATTTCCTCTCTCATCCTCTCCTGATATTGGGTTTAAATTTTGAGAGAGTGAGTTATTTGTTTGTCTGCCTCAGGCATCGGACATTCTTCACTAACAGCACAAAAGATGAGAAGGCTGCTCTTCCCTAAGACCATGTTATTTGTGGTAATCACTTCTGATATCTTATTGTTTGAATATGGTAGGTTCTTTTGTGTCATATTTTATAGACAGCTTTTGTGATCAATATTTGATATCAATTGGTAGAATTATTGTTTCTCACTTTGCACAAGTGTCTAGCATAGATTATGCTTCCAATATAGATTAAAGAGCAAGTCTGGATTTTTTTCTTGCCAAATTATTGCTGGCAATGAGGCATCTGGGACACCCGGATGGAGGTGGAATCCACTCACCCTCTCCCTACACGGCAGCACAAAGAGGCTTGGAACAGGGTGCGCATCTGGTACCGGCTCTTCCTTGAGGCCCTGTGGCTGAAACAGAGAAACTCCCGCCCTGGTCTTGGCCCCATGGACCAAGCACCTGGGAACCAGCATCCACCAGACTATTCTTGCCTGGACCCCATTGCTGAGTCCTAGGGAAAGGAACTGAGTGGAAATAAATTGGTGGGACATGGAATGTGATTGAAAAGGGGCAATTCTTACTCAGTCAGGAGAGAGGCAGTTACAATTCCAGATTTGCAGGGTGGGCAGTTGGGCGATGGGGACCCTGGACTCATACCGATTAAGGAAGAAGACAATGATATCACTTTTGGATGCGTTGGGGCTGGCTTGCTTGCTCGTGGCACATCCCAGCGATGCCAACTAGCACATAAGCTGTCAACCTCAAATAATGAGGTTCAGAAAATATGATTAACTATAGCTTATTTGAACACAAAGCTTGCAGATGGCCACCCGGGAGACCCCAACTTCGAACGAATGAGGTCAGTGTCCCAAAGTGAAGTTAAGGTTTCACTTACCTAAACAGAGGCAGGGAAATCTTAGCAGGAACAACATTTTCCATACAAGACAAACATACAGGGTGCGGGAATTGATTGGTTACAGACTGCTGCTTGAGGAGGGGCAGTGACTTGAGGGCTACTTGGTCTTGGTCTTTATTATTTAAAGGGGAAAAAAGGTAGAAGTTGCAGCCGTGTGACTCGGGCTGCATAGCCACATTCCTCTCAAGGCTCAGAACAATTTAAAAGTCCAACAGCTTTAAGTTTGAATTCTTCAATTTCACAGAGCCAAAGAGGTCAGATATAACAATACAGATTTCAGAGTCATTAGTGCTCATCTGGCTCACTCCCCAGGCAAACATTGATTGAGGGCCATCTGGGCATAGGACAAGAATAGGAACTTCTTGAATAAGAAACCATAGTCGGCCGGGGTCCAGGCGTTGGGGGCAGCTCAGAAGGCAGAGGTTGGAGGGCTGGCAGGCTGGAAGAACTGTGGAGCTCTGGAGAGCGTGGTGGGGGTAGTGAAGGGCCAGCCATGGACAGTGAGGGATGGATTCCTAGGGCTAAGGAGTCCAGCAGTACCACAGCCAACTTTGGGGGAATTGTGGGTCTACAGCTTGGGAGCTGCTGGCAGTGTTAGGAGGTGATCAGGCAAAGGCTTAGTGAATCAGGAGGAGGGGAGACCACCCACGGGTGGGGAGCCTCAGAGGAAGGGAACCTGCAGGTGGCATAGGGGCCGTGCCCATCCCCAGGCAGCACTGTCCTCTGCTCTGTGTGTGCGCTGTTGACAACCAAGAGAAACAGCTCAGGGACAGGGTCCAGCAGGAGCAGGGCAGGTGGGAGGACGGCCACTAGGGCGGGGCCAGAGCTCTGCCCAGGGTCTTCCGGCCACCTGGATCTTCGGGTGACTGTGGAACATGAGGTGATGGAGAGGAGATGGAGGGACTCACTTTACACCTCACTGCCTCCAGCAACTGGAAGCCACACAGCAATTTAAGGAGGGTTATTCTGCCGTGGAGTTTCTCTAGAGTGGAGGGGAGGGAGGGAGAAAGGAAGCAAACTCACTTTGCCCTTCCCCGCCTCCAGCATGCATAGACAAGAGGTTGATTCTCTAGCTGACCGAATGTCTTGCTTTTTATATGATGTTGTCATGTCCAGTTAGCACAGTCTTCATCTGTTATCCAAGATTCCTAAGAGAGATTTACTCCTTTGTTTTTAATAAGTGGTCAAAAAGCCTTCAGGTCATTAGATAATATGAAACTGTTTTCTGGGTGTCTGACTCAGCCTGGCCTGCTGCAACAAAATGCCGTGAGCGGGGTGGCTCATAAACAATAGACTTTTATTTCTCACAGCTGAAGAGACTGGGTGCCAGCATGGCCGGGTTCCGGGAAGAGCCCTCCTCAGAGTTGCAGGCTTTCAACTTCTCACTGTACCCTCACATGGTAGAGAGACAGAAGCGGCGAGGTCTCTGGGGTACCTTGTAAAGCCCTCTACCTCAAGACCCACTCACCTTCCAAAGGCCCCACCTCTTAACACCATCACACTGGGGGTTAGGTTTCAACATAGCAATTTGGGGAGGACACAAATATTCAGACCATAATGCTGGGTCCAGAGTAAGGGAAAATATTTATTAGTATCTCAGGGCAAGACGACATACCTTATTAAGCTAGAAGGTCTTTTTCCCACTTATCCTTAATTGCAAAAACGAACTGACTCCCCACGCATGTGCTGCCTGTGGGAAGAGACAGGGCCCTGGGGAAGATGCTGCAAAGCCTTGATACTCAGACCAGCAGCGTCAGGTGAGCCGTGCCTGGAGGTAGAGGATCTCAAAACGCAGGATCTCCGGCCCCACCCAGACCTACTGATCCCAGTCTCCATTTTGATGAGACCCTCCAGGAGATGACAGAGCACTTCGTAGTTTAAAAGCTTTGGACCAGACTCTGTGTACATCCCTGAACAGAATGCCTGCAGCTCCAAGGCTTCCAGGAGAAAACTAGTCCGGAAGCGCAAACTTAATCCTCAACAGTTCTCAGTCATAACCCTAATTACCATCAACAGTGTTGATGGCTGTTGATACGCCTGCATTTGGTAATCCTCCCAACCCTAGGAGCTGACTATATTATTATGGTCCCCTGGTCCAGGTGGAAATTTGGAGGCTCCTAGAAGTAAGGGAACTTGTTAAGGTCACCCAGTTTGTAAGAGGCAAACCTGGTCAGCCTGAATCCCCAGATGCCACAGATTTCCGGGAATGTAAAGGTAGTCACGGGGTCCATGATACAGGACAGCTCAGTGACGCTCCCGAGCAACGCTGGACCGTGCAGTTAATGGTTTGCTGCAATCATATAATGGAATGATATTCCATATGCAACAACGATGTTTTTAAAACCACCAGTGATACAGAGGAATCCTCATTTTGAAATAGTTCTTGAAAAAATATAACGTAAAAACATATACAATACATACACACATACAGAGACAGAGAAAGAGAGAGAGAGACCAGTCCAGTAACTCAAAATGTCCACACTAACTGAAGATGTGACGCCCGTGTGACTGAATGATTCTACCCCTCTGGGGAGAGGTTCAAGGTTACACTAGAGACATACGCATGAAGAGTCCTCATGTGCACCATTTTAACAGCAAAATATTGGAATAAACTCAAATGTCCAGTACTCACAGAATGGATGAATAAAACATGGAATATTTTCAGTCAGTGAAAGACTATCCAGCATGTTAATAAAAACCAGATCTGGCCAGGCGCGGTGACTCATGCCTGTAATTCTAGCGCTTTGGGAGGCTGAGGCAGGCAGATCACCTGAGGTCTGGAGTTCGAGACCAGCCTGGCTAACATGGCGAAACCCCGTCTCTACTAAAATTACCAAAAATTAGCCGGGTGTAGTGGCAGGCCCCTGTAATCCCAGCTACTCAGGAGGCTGAGACAGGAGAATTGCTTGAACCCGGGAGGCGGAGGTTGCAATGAGCCAAGATCTTGCCACTGCACTCCAGCCTGGGCAACAACAGTGAAACTCCATCTTAAAAAAACAAACAAACAAACAAACAAACAAAAACTAGATCTTTATGAAAGAGATCTTCTTTTTTTGAGAAATATCAATGGTGCGCACCTGTCATCCCAGCTACTCAGGAGACTGAGGCAGGAGAATCACTTGAACCCGGGAGGCAAAGGTTGCAGTGAGCCATTATTGTGCCATTGCACTCCAGCCTCGGCAAAAAGAGCAAAACTCCATCTCAAAATATAAAAAAAAAAAAGAGAGAAGAAATCAAAATCACTGAAAAATCAATGGTGCGCACCATTGATATTTCTCAAAAAAAGAATGTTTAATCAAAAAGGTGTGCTGAATAAAATTTTTAGTATAATATCATTTATATGCATTCTTAGAAACATAAAAAACAATCTTCCAAATCACTCATTGTTACACCCATATAGACTGAATAGGCTGAAATAGACTGAGAAGATACACATTGAATGACTGGCTGTTGCGACGGGCCTGGGGCAGGAGTGGCGGGCATCCAGGGGGCCTCAAATCTATACTATGTTTTAATTCCTTAGAAAGCAAAAAAGATTTGCGAGAGATGTAATCGATATTAGCAGTTGTTAGAACTTCTCTGTGGTAGATATACAAGTGCTTGTTATATCTGTAGTTTTCTGCAATTTTAAGATTTCTATATTTGAATTTATATATCCCATTGAAAAGGTTGGAAGAAAGTACGTAACATATTAATGATGCTGTCCTCTGGGTGATTTTGATTTCTTCCCTTTTTTTTTTTTTTATTTTGAGATGGAGTTTTGCTCTTTGCCAAGGCTGGAATGCAATGGCACAATATTGGCTCACTGCAACCTTTACCTCCCGGGTTCAAGTGATTCTCCTGCCTCAGACTCCTGAGTAGCTGGGATGACAGGTGCTCACCATCACGCCTGGCTGATTTTGTATTTTTAGTAGGGACAGGGTTTCACCATGTTGGCCAGGCTGGTCTCGAACTCCTGACCTCAGGTAATCTGCCTGCCTCGTCCTCCCAAAGTGCAGGGATTACAGGCGTGAGCCACATACCCGGCCTCTTCTTTAAATTTTTCCGTATTTTCCAAATTTTCTGTTAGAATCTGTAACTTTCATAATCAGTAGATAAATAGATCCACCTCCCAATTTTCCAAGAACAAACGCACTTCCCGTCTCTGGGCTTTTGATACAAAGCAGAGCATACTGTTGAAGCCAAGCATAGTGGAAAATCAACAAATGAACAGTGCTGGTATCTGACAGCACATTTTCTTAAAGAAAACAACTAGAAATTCAGGAGGTGCAAACTGTTGAGATGAAAGAATTTTAGCGCAGCTTCTCTATCCCTATTCGATTCTATCTCATGCCTATTCTGTGGCAAAACAAAGGCAGGGACTACTTCCTAGACATCTGGGTGCTTCTTGCATGCAGTTCATTTTTACCTCTGAATGCTAGAACTGGGCCACGCATTAGAGGTTATCTAGTGACACCCATCATTGTACCATCAGGGAAACTGAGGCTGAGAACGACGAACAGGCTTGCAGGAGGTCAGACTGCGGCAGGAAGCTGAGTCTGACTCTTGTTACACTGCCACACTGAGTGCTGCTCAGCATACCGTGGACAAAGGGGGTGAAATCACACTCGCGCCTAAATATGAGAAATAAGATAAATGTCAACCAAGCAATGAATTCACATTCTCTTAAAAAGAAGTAAACGTAAATTGCGTTGCAGGGCAAAACTAACATAGTTCTCTTCATTAGGCCCAGATTCCTATTTCTGTCCTCAAAGTCTAATTGCCTACTTGAGTAGGAGTCTCCTCCTTTACTGAATTCACTTGGTCCTGGATGATGCATTTGGATTTCAGCAGGTGCAGGTAAATTACACAGCTGCCTTTCCACCAAGCTTTCACTCGCGCCATGCAGGACTTCCAGAAAGTGACCTGCATTAAAGCAGAGGGTCTCACTGAGCGACAGTCAGGGAAGGAGGACCCTTCACCACTTCTGCTCATTCCACGCAGGATGCCCGGGCGGCTGCTCTTCACGTTTCCATAGGCGCCTCGGAGAGTTTTAAAGAAATAAAATAATGCAGCGACGGTTGAGGTTTGCCCTGTACCCCTCCCCTGTCCCACTCCCTTCCCAGCAAGCAAAGTCCTCTCCTGAAGTTAGCATGCATTCCTCCCGTCCTGAGAAAATACTTTAATCTGGTTGTGCATCTAAAGAGTGCAGAGTGATGCCTTCTTATTACTATTTACACCAAGTCACACTGAATTTATAACACGGAAACATGCTTTCTTCATTCACCATTGTTGCTCTAAGTGCTCTTGGAGTGGAGACATGTAAATCTAGTTCATTTATTTTCATTGCTGTTAGAATGTGTGCATAGGAATATACCATAATTTATTTATCTAATTCCCCCCAGTGGGCATTGAGATATTTCCCTACTGTAAACAGGGCTCCTGAAACCTGTTCCTATCTTCCCCTCTCATGGAGGTGCTGCCCTGGGGAGGGTGCCTGGTGATAGACCCTCCAGTAGTACTTATTCAGCCTCATCAGGGCTCACCTGGCTGTTCTCCAAGGCAGGCTGAGGTCCTCTCCTCCCAGCAGCACAGCCTGTGCTAGCCCAGCCCACGTCCCTCTTGTCACTGCTGCAACCTGTCCAGGGGTGTCCCGTGGCTATATGAACGGGCACTCCCCAGCCCCAGCTGGGGTAAGCGAGCATATTTTTCCATGTGTATTAGCCACTAGGTATTTTTCTTCTGTGAAATGTGTGATCATGTCCTGTGACCATTTTTCTGGAGGATCATTTGTCTTTCTTCTGTCCTTGGGTGACAGGCTCATACCTGAGCCTAGGACTGAGGGTTTTTTAATCTTTTTAAAATCTTTCTTTAACAGGCCCCACTGTGAGATCCACACAGCTCATCATACCAAAGCAATGTCCTAAGTGGGCTGGGTGGGAACGCTGTCCCCTCAGGACAGAGGCAGACGGCAGTGTGATCAAGGGCTTGTGTCTTGCATTTGGAGCTCTGTGGCTGACTCCGCTGTCCCTGGCTCTTCAGATAAAGGAGGGATAGTGAGCAGCCCAGCCCATCCGAGGAGCCCTGAGGCGCTGGGATAGCTGAGGTGAGCCAGAGACGACCCAGCCTTGCTAACTGCAGCCATTGTGAATAGCTTGTGTCACATCTGATCAGTATTAAGTGAATACAACTTGGCTCAACTTATTATGAAGTAGAGATACCCTCAACATAAATTTCAGAAAGTAATGATGAAAAACAGGGAGAGCTGAAGTGAGGTGGAGTCATCATAGTGAGGCTCGGCGCAGTTCTGTGTAGCTCCCTACAGACCCACAGCGGGAAACAGACCCGCAGAGAGGGCAGGGGGAGCCCTCCAAAACACCTAGAGTGGAGGGGGGTGGACATTGAAGACAGCATGCCTGCAGAGGAGCCGTGGGAGAGGAGGACTCTGATTTGAATTAAAGTCCTCCAGCAGAAGAGAACCCTAGTGGAAACAACTTCCCAATGAAATAGCAGGGCAGAGGTATTCTTGGATCCAGATTGGATCTAAGAGTGGGCTGACCACAGCCCAGCACCCCCACCTCCCTCCGCACAAGCCCCATATCCAGCTACAGGAAACCATGACATGCCTAGCCCTCAAAGTGAAACTCTGAGGGGAAGAAAAAATAACATCCAATAAGATGCAAAGCGAAGCCAGGAGGCATTTCCCACACCATGTTGAAACCAATGGGAAGTCTTTTTGCGTGTGTGTGAGGAGTCTCACTCTGTCGCCCAAGCTGGAATGCAGCAGCATGATCTTGGTTCACTGCAACCTCCACCTCCCGGGTTCAAGTGATTCTCCTGCCTCAGCCTCCCAAGTAGCTGGGATTACAGGCACCCACCACAACGCCTAGCTAATTTTTATATTTTTTAGTAGAGATGAAGTTTCACCCTGTTGGCCAGGCTGGTCTCAAACACCTGACCTCAGGTGATCCACCCATCTCAGCCTCCCAAAGTGCTGGGATTACAGGTGTAAGCCACCGTGCCCAGCCAACCAATGGGAAGCCTTGATGGAGCTACGTACATTAAAATGAAAAGAGATGGCATAGCTATGGAGGGGTCCTCAAAAAGTTGATGGACAATGTGTATTATTTAAAAAAAAAAAAAAAAAAAACTATGCAGGGATTTCAAATTCTTTTGTGCCAAAATAAACTTGTACTAACTTGTTATAACATGTCTGAACAGAATCTAGTTTGGGGAACTAGGAAAGATAAGACAACAATTTCAAGAGTCTCCATCAGAGCAATATGAATCTGCTAAAATTGAAGCAAGAACAAACAGCAAATTTCCAGTGAAACTTGGGTGGAAGAATAACAAAACCATGGAAGCTTTAGGAAAAGCTTATGAGGACAATGCTTCAAAGGAATCAGCAGTTCACAAATCAATAACTCTTTTTAAGAAGGAATGAGATGATGCTGAAGATGAAGCCCACAGCACCAGACCATCTACATCGACATGCCAGGAAAAAGTTAATCTTGTTTGTGCCCTAATTGAAGAGGGCTGGTGATTAACAGCTCAGATAGCCAACACCATAGACCTCTCAATCAGTTCACAATTCTAACTGAAAACTGAAGGTTGAGCAAACTTTCCACTTAATGGATGCCAAAACTGTTGCACCAAGATCAGCTGCAGACAAGAGCAGGGTTGCCAACGGAAATCTTAAACAAGTGGGATCGAGATCCTGAAGCGTTTCTTCTAAGAATTGCAACAGATGAAATATGGCTCTGCCAGTATGATCCTGAAGACAAAACACAATC